CATGTGGTGCTGGGGGATCGAACCGCGGTCCCTGTGCTTTGCCAAGCTTGTTCCAAGTAGGTGCTTTAGACCACTGAGCCATCTCGCCAGCCCCTTTGTTTGTTTTTTTCTTTCTTTCTTTTGCAGAACCAGGGATTGAACTCAGGCACTTGCGCTTGCCAGGCAAGCATTTATTCTACTGAGCCATCTCCCCGTCCCCTAGTACTCAATATATTTTGATGTGAAAAATTTCTTTCATTACTCATCATTTGACATTCAAGTTGGAAGCTAGAACTTGTTGGTTTCAATGGCCTTGTGACTGTCCTCTATTTCCAGCCAAACTTTTTTTTATGCTTGTGCCTCCTAGAAGCAGTTAGTGATGAGTCCTAAGGACCACTTTAATTAGTACAAGTCCCATATGATATGCTGTGTGCTATCAAAGGGGGTGCTTGGCCCAGTTGGAGCCAGATGTGGTGGTTCCTGGTGAATCATGCCTCCCAGGGCTCATAGCCTGGACTAGTAGTGCACTCCAGAATGACTCTGAGAGCAGGCATGTGACTTGCATGGCTAGTGAAATGTTAGCTAACAGAGACTTCAGAAATGCTCCCACACTGCTGCTGTTCTCTTGGAAGCCTGAGCCACTGCACACGAGGTATGGTTACACTAGAGAAACCACAGGGGACAGGAGAAGAATGTCTAGTTTCCATCAGTTCTAGCCAATCTAGCCCAGAAGTGTGAGGGAAAAAGGCCTGGTGGATGTTTGGTCCTAGTAGACACCACAGGGCCAGAAGAACTGCCCAGCTGAGCCCAGCCCAGGCTGTAGGATCCTGTGGAAGTCATGTATCATTGTCGCAGCTTTAAACCACAAAGTTTTGTGTGGTTTCTTATGCAGAATAATAACACAAACATCAGGCAATGTGTGGAATCTCTGTGGCCTAAGGCCCTTCATCAGTGCATTACCTGTCATATAGTAGCTGCTCAATAAATATTATCCCTTCTATTTTCAAAGTCTGTCTCATTTGCTTCTTCATTGGGCACAACCACACCAATATGACAGCACAATCAACACAGGGAATGAAAGCTTGTAGGCTTGGCTGCGTGAGTCCCCGCTGTTTCCTCTGTGGCATTGATAGGACTCACAGAAAGCAAGACCAGGTAGCCGTGGCAGGCCTGGGTCTCTGCTCTGCTCTGAATCAATGAGCACAAGGTGCCTCAGCCAGCCATGGTCAGACTTGCGTCCAGATTGTCTGGTTAGAAATGTGGATCCCACCCTTGATTTTCTGTTTCTTTTTCACAGAAATCTAATTGGTCAGCAAGACTCGCCTCTGCTCCTAGATGTCTTAAGAGGCTTGTCACTTTCTTGTCCTTTGCAGTTCTAGCTTTTGGACCACGTAAATGCCATCCAGAGTGGCTGTGCTTTCTCTCTGCTCATTATGTCCTTCCCTCAGTTGTCTGTTTAAAGAACCCAAATTTATTCTTCAAGTTTCAACTCAGGAACCTTTATGAGGATCTCTTCTTGTGCTTACTGTATTGTCTAGAATTGTAGACATTTCTCTATTGTCTAAAATTAAAAATTGGGCTGGGGAGATAGCTCAACAGTCTGAGTGCGTGCCTGGAAAGTGCAAGGACCTGGGTTCAAGTCCTGGTACTGCATGCTATGCCCTGGCACACTGTGCCAGCTCTGAAACCTGGCATGGTGGGGCACACCTGTAATCCCAGTGCTGGGGAGGCTGAGATGGGAGGATCACTACCAGTCAGCACTGCACAACAAGACCCCGTACCAAATAAATACAAGATTAAAAACACAAAACCAAAAAATTAAAAATTTTATTTAAATTTTTATGGGTACATATTTGATATACATAATGGTCACATTCATTATAGGGAATTGGAACCTGAGCGTGATATAACTAGATTTTTTTTCTCCCATTCTCCTACTTTCCCTTCACCCCCCTCCCCTCCTTTACAGAAGCTTTGTTTCCATTTTTTCCTTCTTTTCTCATCATTTTTTTTCTTTCCCCT